GCTCATTGACGAATATCTTGATAGAAAATTTCTCGTCACTAACATGCCACAGAACTTGACAGAGAATAATCTGTTTTACTTTATTACCAAATTACACTTCTATAATTACATAATCTGTCTATACTGTAGCAATAAAAGACTTGTTAACCACATTGTTGAACTTGACAAGGTAATATACATGAATCGTGACGGGGCTTAGTAGAAATTAGGATAATATAAATGAATAATAATGTTTTAATATTACGAATTAAAATTTCTAATATAAAAACTAAAAAATCTACATTAATATTTATACTATTCACTTAAATGTTGGCTTAGCATATCTCCGTTTAGTTTCATACTTACTATTTATAATATAATTATTTTCAAATATTAATTATTATTAAGTTTAGTTATTATTAGATTATGTCACTGGTATGGCTAATGGAAAAGTTTGCAAACAGATAAAAGGAATCGACTCTGTAATTAGCGTTTAATATTTCTAGAGTTATTTCCCTTAGATATATTTTTTTGTTTTTTGTTTTTTTTATTTATAGTTGATTAATAAAAAATGATTCCTAAACGCAGTTAAACTGGAAGTTGCTTTATTAACCAGATGCAGTTTATTAACGTTGTGGCGGTACCGTTTAGTCGTGTTGCACTTACAACTACCGACCCCAACAAACATACAGGAATTGGGTCATTATTTTTTTTTATTAATATTAAATGAAAAACTTCTTCTATATTACTCATATAAAGTAGGTAAAAGTCACAATTTTTATATATTTTCTGCATATTTTTTTGAAAGCAATTGAGGTACAAGTTTGTTTTTTTTGTGTATGACGGGTTCAGCCTAAGATTCAAGGTCACTTCATCGGTCATTGAGAAATTCCTCAAGTTCATCAACTACTGTTGCAGACATCAGGGGCTGTTTCTTACTCGACCCTGTTCCTCCAATGGAGGGGTGCTCCTTAAAGGACGAATCACTGGACATCAGTTAATTATTATTGCGTCTCTTATCCTGAATTTATATAGCTACAGGTCGCTATCGAAATTCTTATGCCAATAGTTGTTGTTTCACGTTTTGTGCATTTACCACTTGAGGTATTTTCACAGAGTTGACAAATGCTACTTTTGGGGGGATTGTTTTTTTGTTTCTTTTTTCTTTATTCTGCATACAGTTTTTGCTAGAAATCATCGTTAAAATCATTCGTCACGAAGCAGGATGGGTGCCATTTTGGAAACCACAGTTGTTTTAGTTATAACGTTTTAATTTAATAATATAAATGTATTTCTTGAAAAATATGTTTACATTTTGCATAAGGAAAACATTATTACTTTGAATATCTGACGTCGAAAATATACAAATCTTGATTTTGATACCTTAGTCATAATACGTTACTATAATTTTTACTCCATATTTGGTACCAATTTTGTTATTTGGTACTTAAATGTAAATATGTAAATATTAATGTAGATACTAATGCATACCAAATCAGGTGTTACCATCATTATTTCATTAGTATTGTTATTGTTGTAACCAAGTAATTGCTTAAGAAATAACGAAACAAGAGGTTGCTGATAAATATTATATTGAACAGTAAATACAACAGAATTGTGATACACAACTTGGAAGTGTGTATTGGTTGACCAGCGTTCAGTCTATCACTGTTATATTTAACAACCCCCACGAGGGTTATATGTGGCACAAGGCCGTGTTTAACGTGGGTCTTCTGAGCCTGTAGGCAGTGAGATCGACAGGAGCTGCGAACAGTCACGGCCTCGGTAGAACAGTCTATCACTGTTAATATTTAACAGCCCGCCCCCACGAGGTATATATGTGGTACAAGGCCGAGTTTAACGTGGGTCATCCAAACCCGTAGGCCCGGCCAAAAAATCCCCGTAGAAGCCGTACAAACGGTTTCAGGTCTGTCTACCTCCCCGGACGAAACTCTGCCCTTCGGCACAGCCTCGTCCGGGTTCCGCTCTGCCAAAAGCAGAGAGTTCGACAGGAGCCGCGAAAAGCGTTGTGAGAACAGTCTATCACTGTTCCCACCGAGGCTTACTTTTCCTACTACTTTATAGTAAATGGAAGAGTCCATAATAGACTTATTAGAGGGACGACACCTCAACAATTATTGAGTGTTTTGTAGAACAAGTTTTCTGTGTGTTGACCAAGTACAACCCGTTTCTTTTTTCCAGAATGTCTTTGGTTTCCCAATCATTTCATTTCATTTCGACTTGCATCGTTTTTCTTCTCCTTTTGTCCGTTTAAGCGCCATTAAGACTTTCATATCTGTTTTATGTTATGACATAAAATTCGAGCGATAAAACATGTTTTATTAATGTGTACGGTAGCCTCTTTTATACTCACTGAAACAAATAACAGATGTTTGTCTGGATTTGGCTTCTGCTTGGTAAAACTTTTCAAATTCAGCATTTTATCTATAAGAATTCACTGAAATATTAATTTCATTTTTATACCTTTTTTTATTTTATTGTCTATCCTTTTTCTGTTTCATGATCTTCTTCTTCTTCTTCTTCTTCTTCTTATTATTATTATTATTATTATAATTCTCTAGATTATTCGTAGATAACACTAACTTAACACTCACAACATAAAATGTATTATAGTTTGGGCATGTTCTTACTCACTCACCCTGTTTCTATATGTAAAAATCTATCCATTTATTAAACATTCAATGTGCATGAGTAAGTAGGCGATATATATATATATATGTGTGTGTGTGTGTGTGTGTGTGTATAAGTGTATGAGAGAGAGAGAAATTGAGATTGAGTAGGTGTGCGTGTCCAATTATTTTACAAGTTGAAGTGCTTTCATTATTCCATATTTTTATATTTACTTTATACAGAACCTAAGTTAACGTGTTCTTCGGGCGTCTACGAGTGTGTCTTCTACACAGCGATCGTTAGAAATTGCCCGGATATTATTTTTGCTATCATCTTTTCAACTTTAATGTTGTGGTTCATCACAGGTAGTCGACATATATATACATATACATTCATATATATATATATATATATATATATATATATATATATATATATATATATCGATTCTTGATTATATATATATATATATATATATATATATATATATATGTGTGTGTGTGTGTGTGTGTGATGAGATGAGATTATATAAGCATGGATATGTATATATGTATGCCAATACAGGAATATATATATATATATATATATATATATATAGAGAGAGAGAGAGAGAGAGAGAGAGAGAGAGAGAGAGAGAGAGACAGACAGACAGACAGACAGACAGACAAACATAGATAGATAGATAGATAGATAGATAGATAGATAGATAATGATGAAGGCCTGAAAGTGGACATCGTAATATGTACCCCTTGCTCATACGCCATTACTTTTCAGATGTCCTTATGATTTAACCATCCTATATCTTCGTTCTTAACCGAAGTCTAAAGATTATAATATTTGAGTTTAATATTTTGATCTTTCTCAATGATGCTAGTGAAGCATCATTCTTTCAAAGAATAACCAAACACAGCTAAGATTTTAAAATCAAAAGAAAACTAACGAAGCTGTGATTTTTAAGAAAATTTAGTAATTATTGTAACCTAGAAAAGGTTTACTGAATGAGGAAGAACCAAAAACGGAGGTTGGAAATGAAATGGTAATCTTTATAACACCAACAAAATATAATACTCGCCAGCGGCGTGAAGTAGGTAAACCATTGCTAGTGGTGGACAGCATATTACCCCCACTTACAATAGTGTGCAACGTATTTATGAGGATTGGGACATGCACATAGTGTTCATAGGTACGATATATAGATTGATTTCAACTGGGATAGATAGATAGATAGATAGATAGATAGATAGATAGATAGATAGATTTCGACTGAAATTGATTTCGACTAAATCAGATAGATAGATAGTGCTGTAGCCTAGAAAGCGTTACTGAATGAGGAATAATCAAAACGGAGGTTGAAAATGAAATGCTAATCTTTATAACAGCAACAAAATAAAATACTCGCCAGCGTCGTGAAATACGTAAACCACTTAGCTTATTACCCCCACTTATAATAGTGTCCAAAGTATTTATGATGATTGGGACATACCCATTAGTGTTCATATGTATAACAGTAACATATGTTATTCAAGTAATAATTGATTGCTTTATCAATAGTTTTGTTTTATTTAAAAATAGTTTACAAATTTAGTTATATTTTAGAAATATTGTTTAGGTGTTTATTAAATATTAAATTGTTATTATTGGGAATATCAAGTACTCTAAGCATGGATGTGCGGCTGGTGTAATTGATACCGGCTTGGATTTGGAGATCGGAGAGCCGATTTCTAGTTCTAGTCAAGTTTGTTATATTCACTTATAAATACTTTTGAGAAAACTATGGACTCAGATCTTCTTCTCCAGCAATGGGTTAGTTATTAGGACTTAGTTAATCATTAATATCTCAAAAATATTCTTAATATCTAAAAATATTTCCTGGCTTTAAATAACCTACAAAAGATTGATAAGCTGTCAAAAAATCCAATCAATCAATTAAATATTTATTTTAGGAATATAAGTAAATGAATATGGAAAGAAAGATGAAAGAACTGTAGTAAGCTCTCCCTCGGGAATACTTACTTACCTCGAATCAATTTTTCTTTCTTCAATATAATATATTTTCTTCATTCATCCTCAATAGTCAACTTTACCTGTTGTTTTTATCAAGCATTTATTGGCGTTTTGTTTATATATATATATATATATATATATATATATATCTGAAGTACAATTTCCCAAATGACTTTGAATATCGCCCGCACTTTTCAACGATCATCCATGGTACTGAGCACTGAGCAACAATCGGTAGATCATCAAATGTCGGCTTCTAAGACAATACAATTAATCTTGCATGTCGCAAGTCGTTTATTCATCTATTTTTTTCTATTTCTTTTTAATCGGTATCACACCATGGAAGGCATTAAAGCCACTAAGACACAAGTGGTTACAGAGTGTGGACGAATTATGAAGAGAAATATTAATAATGAATAAAAAAAAGAAAAGAATAATTAGGAGGACAGTAGATAGTGATTGACATTGCCTTTAAATTTTTGCAGATTAAAGTTGGCTGGAAAGCATGGATCCGGAAGAGAGACAAGCGAGAAATTCAATATAGTCTTTTCCATTCATGTCAGCTGAAAACCTTCGCCCGAGAAGACGCAACGTGTCACTTTTCTGGAGGTTAGCATCAGCCATGGAAGGTGGAGAGGGGTCTTTCAGATGATTAATAAAGAGAAGTTTAGTTTCTTGACGTTAAAATAGTTTACAGACATTTATTATGGTGGGAAGAGTGTTAAACTGAATACCAGAGGCAGTTTCTATTCGATAAATAAAAGTAACAAAGTAAATGCCTTACAAGAACTCTGCTAATATTTATGGATGTTCTCAATAACTGTCAAAATCTTTCGCTGTGTCCATCATTATAAACGAGTATTTATGTGAGAGTTTGTGTTTATAACTACCATTGACAATACACACGCTGGTCGATTATGTCTGTCTTGTGGATAAAGTGACGGAAATTTAGGCTGAAGTATAATGGCTGACGTCAAAGGTACACAAATGTGAAAATACGAAGTATTATTTCGATACCTAAAAACATAAGGTAGGCACTTGAAATTTTGTGCGAGACTCTTTAAAATATCATTTGTTTTTATCTATTTACAAAAAAAAACAGGCTAATAATCCAAGTCTCCACAATAGAGATAGAAATAACGATAGAAAATGAGTGGTGGGGACACCATCGCCTCTCAGTGTGGTACGAACTTGACACGAGCCTAGGAACAGGAGATCCACTCTCAAAGCAACTCCCAGTTGTAATCAAAGAAAGAAAGAAAGAAAGAAAGAAAGAAAGAAGGCAGAGGCAGAGAAAGAAAGAGTGAATGGAAGGAAAAGGAAAGCTGGAAACAATGAGAAAGAAAGAAAGAAAGAAAGAAAGAAAGAAAGAAAGAAAGAAAGAAAGAAAGAAAGAAAGAAAGAAGGCAGAGACTGAGAAAGAAAGAGTGAATGGAAGGAAAAGGAAAGCTGGAAACAATGAGAAAGAAAGAAAGAAAGAAAGAAAGAAAGAAAGAAAGAAAGAAAGAAAGAAGGCAGAGACTGAGAAAGAAAGAGTGAATGGAAGAAAAAAGGAAAGCTGGAAACAATAAGAAAGAAAGAAAGAAAGAAAGAAAGAAAGAAAGAAAGAAAGAAAGAAAGAAGGCAGAGAAAGAAAGAGTGAATGGAAGGAAAAGGAAAGCTGGAAACAATGAGAAAGAAAGAAAGAAAGAAAGAAAGAAAGAAAGAAAGAAAGAAAGAAAGAAAGAAGGCAGAGACTGAGAAAGAAAGAGTGAATGGAAGAAAAAGGAAAGCTGGAAACAATAAGAAAGAAAGAAAGAAAGAAAGAAAGAAAGAAAGAAAGAAAGAAAGAAAGAAAGAAGGCAGAGAAAGAAAGAGGAATGGAAGGAAAAGGAAAGCTGGAAACAATGAGAAAGAAAGAAAGAAAGAAAGAAAAGAAAGAAAGAAAGAAAAAGAAAGAAAGAAGGCAGAGACTGAGAAAGAAAGAGGAATGGAAGAAAAAGGAAAGCTGGAAACAATAAGAAAGAAAGAAAGAAAGAAAGAAAGAAAGAAAGAAAGAAAGAAAGAAGGCAGAGAAAGAAAGAGGAATGGAAGGAAAAGGAAAGCTGGAAACAATGAGAAAGAAAGAAAAGAAAGAAAGAAAGAAAGAAAGAAAAAGAAAGAAAGAAAGAAAGAAGGCAGAGACTGAGAAAGAAAGAGTGAATGGAAGAAAAAAGGAAAGCTGGAAACAATAAGAAAGAAAGAAAGAAAGAAAGAAAGAAAGAAAGAAAGAAAGAAAGAAGGCAGAGAAAGAAAGAGTGAATGGAAGGAAAAGGAAAGCTGGAAACAATGAGAAAGAAAGAAAGAAAGAAAGAAAGAAAGAAAGAAAGAAAGAAAGAAAGAAAGAAGGAAAAAGATGAGAAAAAACACTGAATGAAACGAAAAAGAAAGATTGAAACAATAAAAATATAAGTAAAATGTCTAAGAAAATCGAAAGAAATGAATGTCCATCACGAATGAAAATGAAGAAGGGATGAAAATGATATCTTGAAAAAAATTGTCGACATGAATACATTCAAAAGGTTTTCAATAATTTATAAAATCTTTTCTCCTTTTAAGGGAAGAAAGTGGAGATGAGCAAAACTGAATTGATTCTTCGATTTTAATATCGAATGTTCAGTTTTCCATGATTGGTTTGCTATGATTTCTTAAGTGATGGCGATAGACATTGACACGAAGACATAATATAGCACAAGAAATATTCCAAAAATCAGCGGGACATTCAAAGAAAAATATTCATGTTATGTACATATAATTTTGCTCTCTCTCTCTCTCTCTCTCTCTCTCTCTCTCTCTCTCTCTCTCTCTCACTCCCTCTCTCTTTCTATAGATAGATAGATAGATAGATAGATAGATAGATAGATAAGTGTAGAGCACTTTCCTGATGCAGTCACAACTTCACTGGGCTGGTAATGTTGTAAAGATGAGCGACGTCAGAATACCTAAGGTCCTCATGTATAACCAGCTTGACAGTGGATAAAGGACTGTTGAACTTACGTGGTTCAGGTATAAAGACGAGCTATAGAGTAATATTTCAACTGTCAATGTTCGACATACTAACTTCGACGAGTTGCTCTGGATAGAAATAACTGGAGAGATTTGTACCAGAGTGGTGTCCAAAATTTTGAAATCCGTCGTATTGAACGACTAAGAGACGAAAGACAACGGCGAAAAGTGCCAGCAAATATTCCTGAGGCTATGTACCAAGATCCTCGCTGTTGCACAATATGTGCACTTTTATGCAGGTCACGAGCGGGATTGAAGTGTCACATACTAGGTCAACATAAAAACTGAATGATGAGGTTGTCGGATATTCATACGTCGAAATACATCATATATATATATATATATATATATATATATGTGTGTGTGTGTGTGTGTGTGTGTCTTAAATTGCCCTATGTTTTCTATTTAGGAAAATTGTATTGAGTTTATTTTTGTTGTTTTTTGTTTTTTTTAATTTAGCCCTTTTATTTTTTTACGAATATCACTTTCGGCCAAAGACTGAATTTATAACCGACTTTGTCTCTCGCTAAAACAGTTGCGACTGAATAGTGAGTTCAGTGCAGTGTGCCGCATCTTAGCTACGCTTGGAAAATCACAAGAGTACCTCGAGGCGGTGTAATGGTTAGCAAGCTTGTCTCGCTAGAACAATTGCGACTCAGTAGTGAGTTCGATCCTCACTGGGTGCCTCATACTTTCGACCTTGTGCCACACATAAGCTACGCTTGGAAAATCACTATATATATATATATATATATATATATTGATTTTCCATATATATATGCATATACATAGATACTTTCTATAGATATATGCATATGCTTGTTTATGCATGTGTGTTTTCTCGATTTGATGCCTCAAATAAAAGAATCTGTTCTTGACTCAGAAGATAAAAGAAGAAATTGGTAACTCGAATTAAGGAAGCAACTCATACACTATGGAAAACACGGAAATCTCGATTACAAAGGGAGATAACTCAAAGTCAACAGTAGAATTGATGATAGCGGGGAGGTTATAGTCATAAATTCTAATAGATATTTTTTTTTAAAATACAGAATTAAAATCAAATCAAGGAAAAGACACCTCAAAAGAAACGTAATACATATAAATATTAGAAACAGCTCACAGAAAATAAAACAGCTTGAAATATACCCGATCTGTATATAACCATTATCATCATCTTCAGCCCCACAACCGAGTGCGGTCGTATGGCCACGTCACAGCTTATTACATGGCCACTTCATTTGATGTGGTTAAAAGCAGGAGAGGTATTCATTGTTGCTTAGCATGTATTAGGTAAGTTAACCTGACGGAGTCCATCCCTCAAACCATAGCTGATCTTCTTCAACTTCAATCAGTAATGGAAACGTGGATGTTGATACCCTCGATAAAACCCACCGTTATAGTCATTGGCTATGAAGCCCTTCTCCTAGCGATGTTGTATCATCACAGCACTGGCAGTATACGAAGTAACAGAGCTTAGTCTACTTCATTATACTAGTTGTCCATTGACCTTGCCAGAAAGTTAATCTGCTTTTTGACAGGTTTTGTTTGTAATCTTACTATGTGTTTAGTCAGACTCCTCATCAAGAATCCCGATGGAGGAACCGGTTTAGTTGCCGATGACCCGACCATGCGACAGGTAATACTTGGTTACATGTTACCAGCAGTAATCGTACAATAACCTCACATAAATAAACAAAAATCCTCTCAGATAACCAACAAAAGATTGCACTAAAAAATGGAATCGAAGTAGTTTGCCAAATGTAGAGACATTATATTAAGGATAGCCTTGGTGTACTATACAAACCTGTATACCTCTAAAATGAAAATACCACCTACAGTTACTTCACTATTTACATTATTCGGACTATTGTCCTCATCTTTGTTGCCGTATTTATCACAACGTTTCGGCCGTTTTACGCTCCGGCATTCTTCATGTGGTTGAAATGTCGAAATGAACCCTTTATTTCGCTCGCTAGGGTAGACTATTCTAGTTACACGTACGATGTCTAATGGACGTCAGTTATCAGTTATCTCCTGTTAATTCTTCTCTCCAAGTTCCCCATTGCCTTAACCAGGTATTGAAATCACACTCTTTGGGTCCTGTCACTTGATCTAACCAATGCCTTTATCCACTGTTCCATCTGCCATTGAAATTATGAAATATGGTAAATAACCAAGCAAATATAGCATAGCAACGGACCTTTTAAAAGATACTCACAGGGTGGCTACCACACAGAATTAGCAAAATTACTTATTTATTGCACACGGAAACGAAAGGTGACAGTTACTTCAGACAAGGAATAATGATCATGCTTTATAATGATCCCAGCAACTGTTGTCCTGCTACATTACTACTGGACATGTGCAATATCTACAAGGTATTGACAAAAAGACTGAAAAGCAGACAAGACGAATAGCAGCCACATAAACAGGCAGGTGTCCGGTGAGACTCCTGACAATTAGTCCATCTTCAAACAATAAATCAAATGGACGAAACATGAAAACAAAATATTATATCAAACTAGTTTTTTTCACCTTTTGCTGAGCATAAAAATGCTGTTGAATTGACAAGACACACGTGAGAAAAGCGAATGAACTTCGAGCGCTGGTTATTAATTTAAAAAAATAGAGATAGAAAGATTTATAGGGAATATACACAATAAAGAGTAGTGTAAATATTTAAAGAGACAAAAACACAGAGAGGAGCGAAGCAAAGGATAAAATTTAATTTAAGTTATTTACTGCAAGCCTTCAATGGTTCTTTCGTCAAATAAAATTGGGAATAATCAGAGAAATAGTTATTAAATTTAAAATAAAAAAAATCTTATGAAAGAAAATTTAATCCCTTAGTAAAATTTCTGGAATATTTAGTGATAAATGATATATTGAACCTCACCTGGATGTTAGAGTGAAACTTGAGTTACCTTTGTTTAATTTAGCTTACGTCATATATATATATATATATATATATATATATATATATATATATATAGTTAAACCTAGAGAGCCAGACAAGCCTACCACGGTTTAACTAGGTCTGCTCTATTTATTGTATCCAGCACTTTATTTTGCGTACTCGTATCGAGATTTTTTTCCTTTGGGATTTGGACTTGCATGCTAGACGATTATTTTCGGCTAACATCCATGTTCTTGGTTCTTTCCTTTTTTATACATTTTTTCCCCCTTTGGCATTGGTTTGATTATTTGCAAATCAAGACAATGAAGGTTTTCCGAACGAGTATAGTTTCTTATACTTATAAGATTACTACTACTAATAATATGTATATATATATATATATATATATATATATATATATATATATATACATATATATGCATGTATATATATATGTATATATATATATACACAAACACATACATACACACATATATATATATATATATATATATATATATATATATATATATATATATATATATATATATATATATAAACGTAAACTAAATGAAGAATTTCATCCTAACAATGAGAACAGGTGCAATATTATGAAATGGATTTCGTTCGACAATTATTTAATATATTTTCTGTTAAGTAAAAGCTCTGTTTTTTTTAATTAAACGGTATTAACTACATTTAGAAGCTTGAATGTTCGAGAAAATTCGAAGGAAATATGCGCTCTCCGACGGGAATCGAACCTGTAACAATAATCGGATTCGTCATTTATATATATATAATTTTTTACATACGGACAAAAACAACTTGCTCACTACAAAGATGCTTTCTTGTTTCGATGCGTCTACATCTCGACTGGTCAAAATCAATATATATATATATATATATATATATATATATATATATATATATATATATATATATATATAACGTAAGATAAATAAAGAATAAAACTGAGCTAACTCAAGTTTCACATTACTAACTGACAGATCATGTTCAATTTTTATCGGGTGTCGATCAGAATTTACGAACTAAATATGGCGAACGTGTTTTACTTATTAAGGTGAAATTTGGGTTGCTTGCGTTTTATTCTTGATTTGCCTTACGATGTACATGCTTGATCTTATACAGAGCACTTTTAATTACTTCATCATTGCTGGACTTTACCATCTACGACTGTATGTATATATATATATATATATTTGTGTATGTGTGTGTCTGTGTCTGTGTGTGTGTGTGTGTGTGTGTGTGTGTGTGTATGCGCGATACTTAGTGAATGATGCTCAATATCTGTGATAGAGCTAACATATTCAGTCGTATCTCGTTGTTTTTCTGATTTGTCTTTATGCAGTTAGTTCGTTGGCTTTGATTTATCGATTTGTATTCAAATCGCTTGTACACTTTGATCGCATCACGTTTTTTACATCTCTCGCTCAAATACACTTTCACTTCCTTCTTGTTCTCCGTCGTACATGTAGGTGTGTGTGGGTGGGTGTGTGTTTCACCTATGTGTGTTTGTGGGTGGGCAATAGTTAATACACAAGATGATTTTTCATTCGTGTATCTTAAATCATTTTCTCTACAGAAAACACATGGTAAGTAATAAAAAGGTAGGTATTTTTATATTTACATTACAGTTAATCACTCATAGATCGATCCATAATACCTCTCCCTTCAACTGGATCGGAAAAGGATTCCTCATAATGCTAACAATTGTTATCGCTAATAAAAAAAAAATGGAGTAGCAAATAACTCTGATATTTAATTATTAGATATAGATTAAAATAATGCGTTTTATTGTCAGGAATAATTTATTGCAATACTGGACATTGACAAATGCAAATGGGATAGAAATATCAGTTCCTTTTTCATGTGTTGTAAATATGAGTTCATTTTGTGGACAGAAAAAGAGAGACAGATGGAAAGGGATGAAAAGTGAGAACATCATCAATATTTGATATTCGATTTTTATACAAGAATCGATTTGAAAGAAATCTCAAGGGAAAAGGTTAAAGAAAGAAAGAAAGAAAGAAAGAAAGAAAGAAAGAAAGAAAGAAAGAAAGGAAGAAAAAGAAAGAAAGAAAAAGTGAATAAATGTTGGTGAATGATTGCGTATGAATGAAATTTGGTTAAAAAAACAGAAAGCAAAAAGGTGGAGAACACGTGAACAAGGAAAATGACGCAGGCAAAGTGACAAGATTGAAAGAAAAAGAATAAATGGATAAAAAAAAGAATGAATGAGAATCGCTATCATTTTGAAGAGAGGAATAAATTAAAGAGTGAATAACAAGCGGGAAAAAATGAAGGAACTGTTAAATGAGTCAAAGAAAGAAAGGGAGACTTTTAGAATGTCAATACAGAGATACAAGAAAGTTCAAGACAATTTTAGATAATTGCAAATGAAAATACCTACTGAATGAACGAACAGTTAATAGTTTTCTCAAAAATTAACTTATCGCATTTATTTATTTAATGTCTTAGTTTTCTTAGACCCTTGAGTGACTGACAGGCTTTTTATACATAAAACAACTGAGGTTCCATTTTCAGCCCTTGTTTTTATTAGGGAAGAAATTATATGACTCGGCAGAATATTTTTAAGGATACAAACCTCAAACGAGCGATATCTTTTCTGTGACTGGGTCAATATTTATACTGTTATCAGATCATCGCTTAGTAAAAGCGAAAAAGATTTTAGTGGATAATTTAAATGTTTATATATCTATAACCCGTAGATATTGTAAAAATCGTTACTATTATTGTTTAAATTCGTTTTTTCACGAGACTTGTAGATGGTAATGGGTGCATGGGAATAACTTTTGTGATTGATTCTGTTTCATCTCTGGTTTTCAAATAACTATTTATGCCTCGATTCCTACGACTGACTTTGTTTGGCGCTAAGGTTTTCGCAGATTACCAATACATCAAAGGATAGTCTGTTATCTGTATATGTTTAATAGATAATACAGCATTCAGGACTGCTATATAGAAAATGTTGAACCAAACAGAAAAAGCGCCAATTAATTGTCACGTGGTGTGTACTGGATTTTCTCATCTTTCGAAGAACATCCACAGCACAATGACAAATTCTAATTACGCTTTTTTTCTTTCCTACCACGAATAATAAGAGAAATATCTGTTTGTGATGGGTGTTGTTCTCAAGATATCCACCAATCAGTCAATATCAGTATATATATATATATATATATATATATATATATATATATATATATATATATACAAAATAAATTATAAATTGTTTTAACTGCTTCCCATACTTAATACTACTCGTTTTCCCTCTCGCGTGGTCGTGTGTGACGTCACGAGCTGCGACGCGATTTTTGCTTCCGCGTCTCGTATATACGAGACGCGGAAATTACTTGGAAATTTTTCATGCAGCAAGGGCGGACTATCATTGTTGTTTCGTGCGTGTGTTGTTTGATTTATTGAAATTGTCATCTTTGATAATGGCTTATGTAAGTCGAAAGCTTACATTGGATTCAAACATGTATCAATATGGTGTTTTCCTTTCGTCTTTCAACGATAATGTGATTAAGATTATCAAACAATATGAAAGAAACTTACTTAAAATAAATAGACAAAACTTGTCTATATTATTTAATGAAACATTCATTAATGAAAAACTGCTGCCTAAATATACGCAATATATATAAAAGAAAGACGGCTACGTTTTTTAATCAACACGTGGGGGTTTCGATCCAGACGCCTTTAGTTGAAAATCTGTGAAGAGTAGAACTGGGATTAAAGAGTGGATTCCTAGTACTTTCGGTCATCCTGCCGGTCATCAAGGAGGTGGCTTTGAAATTATATATATATATATATATATATATATATATATATATATATATATATATATATATAATAATCCTAATCATATCGTTTCACCTAAACGGATCTTCAGGGTCTTTACCCTGAAGATCCGTTTAGGTGTCTCCTTAGGATTGTTTATCGCTCTACCCAGCGCATTGAGCACTCTACGTCGTTATCTTTTTACTCATTTTGGGATTTTTTTTTCTTTGGACTTGGAGCATAAAACACTTGACGATTGTTTTCGTCTGGTTTTAATGTTCTTTTGTCCTTTCTTTTTTTATTTCCTATTTTTTCCTCGGGTACCGATTTGTTCTACTGCAAGTTGATCTATCCGAGGTTTTTCCAAACGAGTACTACCATTCATATATATATATATATATATATATATATATATATATATATATATATATATATATATATATAAATTCTCAATACTGTTTCTTGTGCAATAAAAACTTTCTCGGCACACATTTGAAATTTTCCTGGTGTTTGGTTTTTGTTTCCCCACCCCTAAGTAATCGCAATTTTTCGGCATTTCTATCTTAGCCGTGTCAGTTACTGTGTGCATAGTTTGTACAGTTCAACGACTCTTGTAACATCTTGAACTTTCCGATGAAATATAAATTCTCCATTCTTCCCAAATAACAATTGCTGTCTACCTGATAATTGTGTGTAAAAAATAAAGAAACCTTTAACTGGGGCCGGCCACTTATAGTGGGTCAGCCGATTTGTATTGGTTATAAATAGAAATAAAAAACCGACCCTCTACAATTTTTACAATATCAAATGTAACAATGACAACAACAAGAGAAATAATCAAGTGGAAGGTAAAGAAAGCAAACAAAACAAGACCGATAATATATGTATATACAAATATATATTAATAACAAATTACAATACATGGAAACAGTACAAAGGAGGAAGTGTGTGTGAATATTCTGTATGTGCGTGCGTGTGTGAATATTCTGTATGTGCGTGCGTGTGTGTATATTGTGCTTAGCTTGTTTCCACGCTATCCCTTGTTAGCGACTACAATTCGAGGTTGATAGCTGAATAAGAGAGTTTACCTCAAGGTGTCAGTGCACAGGCCTGAAAGGGAAAAAGAGATAGAGGTGAAGAGTCAACGGCTATTTATAGCCAGGGAAGAGAGACCCCTGGTGAAAGGGTTAACGGAGTGAAGGAGGAGGAGTTAACTCCGACACGCTATTCGCTGTGAACTTATTTAGAATTATTTAGGTTCTGCCATTCAATATAGCACTGAGTTCTCTTTCTTTCGTGGTCATGCGTAGCAGACTCCCTTAGAAGTTGCTTACTTTATTTACTTAGATTAGATTTAAATCACATATATATATATATATATATATATATATATAAGAAAAAGTAGAAAAAGTTTTCGTGTGGCGCTTTTCGCCATCAGACTGTGTTTACTTTGATTCGACTACACATGCACAGGAACGAAAAATTTTAAATTTTAAATTATATATATATATATATATATATTTTCATATGTCTGATTATTTTAATTCTCACCGTCACTCATTCGTACGCATATGCAATCGCATCGAAGTAAATAGAAATTGAGTCTGATGAAGTCCTTATGAACGAAACGCGTCACACGAGAAGATTTTCCACTTTGTTATACAGTTTTCCTTAAAGCTGTCAGGAAAAGCATTATTGGCAGGAAGTTTCACTACAGTACATTCAGAGTGAAAATAGAAATGTGTCTCCTTTCTAATGTTTAAAGTTGCTCAAATAATAGAATATTATCTTTTAGTGATTTTTTAATTCTATACTTCATTCATCCTGCGAACTTCTTTCCGGTTCATCATTTCACCAACATTGTTCCTTGTTATGATTTCAGCATGACAGATTTTGTTATTTTCCCGATGTAAAGACAATAGTAGAACAAATGCTTTCCACTGCCTCCTAATAACCAAATCAACGACCAATTAAAATCGCCTTGAAAATACGAACCTACACTTATTAAATATTGCTGTGTTGCGGATGAATAGAATTGAATATATATCCTTAAATTGCCTCTCTTATCGCCATGGAACTGACCCCACAAAATTTTCTCTGTTCCCTTCTTTGATATGGCTCTCCCCAACATCTGTCTCTATTTTATCTCTATAAAACTGACTTTTTTGCTCTCTTCTTTCCCATGAAAGTATCTCTCCCAACATCTGTCTCTATTTTATCTCTATAAAACTGACTTTTTGCTCTCTTCTTTCCCATGAAAGTATCTCTCCCCAACATCTGTCTCTATTTTATCTCTATAAAACTGACTTTTTGCTCTCTTCTTTCCCATGAAAGTATCTCTCCCCAACATCTGTCTCTATTTTATCTCTATAAAACTGACTTTTTTGCTCTCTTCTTTCCCATGAAAGTATCTCTCCCCAACAACATCTGTCTATTTTATCTCTATAAAACTGACTTTTTTGCTCTCTTCTTTCCCATGAAAGTATCTCTCCCCAACATCTGTCTCTATTTTATCTCTATAAAACTGACTTTTTGCTCTCTTCTTTCCCATGAAAGTATCTCTCCCCAACATCTGTCTCTATTTTTATCTCTATAAAACTGACTTTTTTGCTCTCTTTTTCCCATGAAAGTATCTCTCCCCAACATCTGTCTCTATTTTATCTCTATAAAACTGACTTTTTGCTCTCTTCTTTCCCATGAAAGTATCTCTCCCCAACATCTGTCTCTATTTTATCTCTATAAAACTGACTTTTTTGCTCTCTTCTTTCCCATGAAAGTATCTCTCTCCCCAACATCTGTCTCTATTTTATCTCTATAAAACTGACTTTTTTTCTCTTCTTTCCCATGAAAGTATCTCTCCCCAACATCTGTCTCTATTTTATCTCTATAAAACTGACTTTTTTGCTCTCTTCTTTCCCATGAAAGTATCTCTCCCCAACATCTGTCTCTATTTTATCTCTATAAAACTGACTTTTTGCTCTCTTCTTTCCCATGAAAGTATCTCTCCCAACATCTGTCTCTATTTTATCTCTATAAAACTGACTTTTTTGCTCTCTTCTTTCCCATGAAAGTATCTCTCCCCAACATCTGTCTCTATTTTATCTCTATAAAACTGACTTTTTTGCTCTCTTCTTTCCC